TTTTGTGCATGCCTTCAATAAGTTTAAAGTAATGATAATGATTGGACAATTATACCTGCAGTGTAGGGTTGACATGTTGGTGGTTCAATGATGATGCAACCCTACAGGGGCTTGTTTGAATCCACTTTATACTTTCAAACCAGCAACCCTACAGGGGCTTGTTTGAATTCATTTTATAGGTTCAAATCCAACAGAGGCTCAACCCTACACTAAAATAAATTTTTAAATTTTTTTGTTCTAGTTAGTAATCATCGTATACAAGTCTTGATTCCTGATCTCATTCATTTGGTAGTAATGAATCAGCTGATGGACAGTTTTTGTATCCACGCAGCATTGCTATCAACAGTCAAGGATTAGTGTATGCTGTTGATCAGAATCATCGCATTCAGGAGTTTTCTCCAGATGGAAAGCTTGTGGGTCAGTTTGGTGCTTTTGGATTTGGTCCTGGACAGCCAATTAGTCCATTTGGTATAGCAATACACAGTGCAGCTACTGGTCTAGTGTTAGTGAAGAGCTCAATCATCGTACATGTATATCAGTCTTCACTAGTGATGGTGTGTTTGTTAGTAAGTTTCGAAGATTAAGCAGTAATATTGATCAGTTTAATGGTCCTTATGGATTAACATTTAATAAAGATGGATTCTTGTATGTTTGTGATTTGTGTAATCGCCAACTTGTTGGTTATTAAAATGACAGTATTTTCATATTTTTAAAAGTATTAATAATTATCAATTAATGTATTAATCTTATCATGTAGCAGTCTGTGTGCCGAAATAATTACAACTGATGCTTTGGAATAAGTTTGGATAACATTCTTTATGCAGTGGTGTAGGATTTTCTACCACACCAGTTTGCAAGTACTCTCTTGTTTCTTTACTTCTTTCTCAATTCATTCCTGCTACTTTTCCATTTTCGATGTCTTTTATTTACTTGTTTCTGTGGTTAGGTTAATTGTATTCATGCTGATGACATGCACATAAATTAAAATGGCGTCAAATGATGTAAAAGCCAACTCAATCATTTTCCTGGCTTAAAAGATTTCCAAGTTGATAGAAGAAAATGATAGAAGAAAACATCTGATAAATTTTGCAGAAATTTAAACTTGGACCTATTCTCCAGAAATTCTCCCACTACCTTACAGGCCACTTTAAGGTACCAAGAGAATCACCCAGAGAAGGAGAGCTCATCTAAGCCATTTCTAGGGCTGTACACATAAAATAAAAGAGTTATAAGTGCTTGAAAATCATAAAACAGCCACCGTCTTAAAAAACCAATCTCAATCCTACATATAGGCTACCACTTACATGTATATAATAGTGAAACACAGTACAATTTTTATAATTTTATCAAGTACATGTATACTGTATGTACATGTACTCCTACTATAGTACATGCATATGTACAATGTACATGTACATCTCTGCTAACTTTATTCCTCACTCTTCTCTCTACAACCATTGATTGTCCCTAACAACCCACAGTCAACCAGTGTCCCTTGTCCCCTCAGGCACTCACCAGCATCTTTTTTGAAGTTCTGTAGTCTCTGGACAGTATCATGCTGTGAATAATCATTAAGATGGTTGGAGCTTTGTGTACCATGAAATGAATAAAGAAGGGGGAGAGGAGGAGAGAGAGAAGAAAGGGAGAGAAGGAAGGAGAGAGAGAGAAGGAGGTACGAAGGTGAGAGAGTGCAGTATAAACTTGTACATGTACATGTATATCTTCAGGATTAAGTGGATTAAGATAAAGCAATAAATAATAACATTAAATAGCACATGTACATGTATGCATACAAGGGATTTTACCTTTAGAAATACATCAGAACCTTTAAATGTTTAATCTTCATCATTCTTCTTTGTAGCAGTGGACTGTTAAGAAATGAGAGAGGGAGAGAGAGGGAGATGGAACAGAGAGAGAGCAGAGAGGGAATTAAGGGACAGAAGGTAATCAATTACTTCTTTTAACTTGGCTTAAAATAAGTCACTCAAAAATGTTGATTAATTACCGTATATTTGTTGTATGTGCATGTATTGTAATCATCAATAATTATACCTGTGTTATGAATTTAATTGCAAATAAACAGTTCAAGTATTGAAATATTTCATTTGCATACAGTATAGCTTCAAATTTTTGTTGGTAAAAATTTTCGTCAAAAATTTTCTCTCGATGATTCAGCTATACCTTTTCTCAGTGTTGTAACCTGGGTTAGAAAGGATCAGTAGCTTAGTGTTAAGAATTGTAGGTAGCACCTACTAAAACTATGGTGGTAAATATATGATCTTTCTCCCTCTCTCTCTCCTATTATTCCTTTCGTTTCCTTTTTTCTCTCCCTTTTTCTAAAAATTTAGTTAATTTACCAAGGATAGGTCCAATCATTTTAATTGGTATGTAGTCTGGTCCCGTCTAATTGGTATGGTACTGAGAGATTAATCAAAAAACATCTCTCAAGCAAAAAATATTAGCTTTCTTGTATCTCAGAAATGCACAAACCAGTTACTATAAATTATGGTGGCCTACATAATTAGAATTGTACATGTGCGTGCAGGGAAACCCCTCACATTAATTTCAACTTGCAGTTTATCTCCTTAGAATTATTCAATAGTTATTATTTTTCTCATCATGGACAAGACAAAACTATTAAGCTAAGAGTTATCATTAAACTTTATACTAAAGGTAAAGAGACTCCTTCACTCAATTTAAGGTGTTACTGAATACCAGGAGTCCATATGAGTAGTGACATTACTAGCAGGAGTGGATTGTGACTGTGGGACATATTACTGATCAGAATTAATGACATACACTATTTAGTTATATAATATCCTAATTCTTCATGCATAAATCTAATGTAATATTTAAAAAAATTCATTAAATTACACTGGAAACCCCCAATGATAAAACAACACAGGTGATTGTTCCTAGCTTGCATGGAGGAAAGCAACTTGCCATGATGTACACACAAAGTCTCAGTGATCTCACCGTAAGTGGTTGGACGACAGTTTACAGTTTACATGAAGGACATCTTTTACAAACTGAAAAATGTATTGTTTAATATAACTCAGTATTTTTTAACTTGTGTGGCTAAAATAATGATTAATTTTGAATGTTGTGGTTGTGTGGATAGATCTAGCCCTTGTGGTTTGTACATGTAGATCTAGATACATAGATTTATATCTCTAAACAGTACACCTAGATCTAGCTGCTTCAAATGACTTCAAAACTATCACATTTCCTATTAGGTGAGTTAGATTATTTATAATACACTGATATACAAATTTTTGTGTACAGATATTAGCAAGTTACAGTTTGTTTTACAAGTCAAAGAGGCATTACAAGTTTTCTGATGCAAAATGGTTTGAGTTTGGATTGAATCTTGGTCTGCTTCATCCTACACTGGAAGCAATTGAGTCAGCTCATAGAGGCAATCCTTCACGCTGCCTGATGGAGTGTTTAACCAAGTGGTTGACTAAAGCTGATGATAATGTCACCAATGTTGGTCCCATTATCTGGAAGACACTGGCTAATGCTCTTAGAGAAATGAATGTAAAAATCTATTTCCATTAATATTTGCAAAACAAGTAATATAATGTTATTATTGTTATACTTTGTTTATTGTAATAATAGTGGCAGATCCTGTTAGTGAGATGTTGCAGGGTTATATTGGTAGACTAGCTCAAGTTGTTCTTACTGAGGAATCAGTTGATCTCTTACATACAGAGGGATTGATATCTAAGGATACATTAGCAGAAGTAAAGAGTTGTGGTTTTTCATTGGTAGGAGATCCAATGTTACTAATATTAAGTGCTGTAGCTGAAGATCACAACAAGTTATGTACTCTGACAAGCATTCTAATGAAATCAAAGGAAGCAGTGTCTTTAGCTAGTGATATAATAATGAAATATGGTAAATGAACAGTTTTATAAATACACTTTCTTCGCTTATTTATAATTATTCTAATGCAATAGGAAATTCATTTCCTTCAGCAGTAGCGGTAATGCCACCTTGTCAACAAACAAATACTTCATCATTTTCAGGTAATGATATAATTACTGGGTATTATACACTTGCTATTATAACTGATAAATACAGCATCTCAACAATTACAAGATAGTAGTAGTGAGATTCAAGTAAATACCAACACTGATGCTACTGCACATGGTTAGTAAAATTAATTATTATATACACAATTCAATGTCATTACGCTATAATATAGGTGTAGTAGAGGTCATAGTTCATCCTGGCTATAAAGCTGAGTTTGATAGAATGGGTGATTTGCGTGGTACACTTATTGATGATATTGCTCCTCTTATTGAAAAATCAATTCCGTCTTTGACTCACCTTAAAACTTACCTTGGAAGATGTCGTCCAGAATTAAAGCCGCGATTGAAAGATGCCAATAGCTTTGATGATATAATGGAAGTGATTGAGGATGAGTGTTCTATCACTAATGTTGCTCTATTGGAGACTATAGTGAACAAATACTCAATACAAGATGCTGGAGACATGATATTAGCTTATCAGGCACACTTGGATGAATTCTGCGAGAACAAATTAACAATGTTTTGTAATCATCAACTTAAGAAATTATCCTCTTCTCTCCTCACTTGTGAGACCATCAAATTTGTTCTGAAATGGAATCCAAGTGAGCATTCTCTCTCAAGTATCAGAGCCCTCTTATGGAAAACATTCAAGGATAATCAAGTGGAGGTGGTAGTCATCAAAGAAGGGAACTCCATCAATGTTACTTGTTATGCTCCTCATTATCTGATGGAGAGTTTACTAGTATCAGCTAGGGATAACATTGATGTGCTAAAGGAGATGGGATTGATTAGTTTAACTATTGGTTACTATACTGTGTATGATGAACATGCAATTGATGAGGTTAGTGAATGTATTATATAAGAATAATAAATTAACAGTATACCTTAATATTATTTTGATAGGAGGTAAAGAGTCTAATGAAGAAACTGGAGGTGATAGAGAGTGAAAGAGATGATTTACTTGAGGAGAATGCTAAATTGAAGAGCACAAAAGACACATTAGGTACTAATTATCATTACCTTATAACTATAATTATTGATATTTTAAAGGTAGAGAAATTGATGAAAACAATAAGTCATCAATGCAATCATCAGGTATAGATCTATAAAATTATTTATGGATATTGCTATGTGCATAAATCAATACATCTTGTAGCTGATTATTATTTAGTGTCTGGGAGGAAAGACAGTAAAAAGATGACAAAAGCAATGCAAATGGAAATAGATCATTTAAGATCATCTCTTCAATGCAAAACAGGTATAAATGCATATAGTACACATAATACTTAATACTATATATAATGACAATGTAGTATAGCTGTGTTTAGAATTGTTGCTCGTACATTAATTTTGTTATAGTAGGAGAACGACTTTGTATAAACATAGAGGTCCTGTACAATTCTTTTGCTGTAATAATTACATAATTGTCCAAAATTTATACCAATTAAATCATTATACTATAAGTGTACATGCTTGCTGCTATAAAGAACTTTTCATGTCACTTGTGCTATGCTACGTCATAAAATGCATGCAAATTATATTATAATATTATATTAATTAATAATTATGATAGGAGTAGAGGAAACATTAATTGAAAAAGAAAAGGAGATAGAACAGCTACAAGAAAAGATATCATTAATAAATATTCAACAACTGAAAGAAACTTCAATTACTCTTAGTATGTATTGCATTATAGCAACATAATGACTTTATAGTACTGGTATTTTAGGAAAGGATCAGTCTACACAATATATAGATCATCAAAAGGGACCAGTTTATGTAGCTATTAGAGACTGGGAGGCAAAAAACATTACTCAGCTTTCAATCAAAAAAGGAGAGAAACTTGGAATCAAGAAAGAGCGTACTGATGGATGGTGGCTAGCTAAATCATTAGATACTGATCAAGAGGGATATGTTTATATTAGTGACATTGAAAAAGATGAAGAGAGTGAACTGTCAACATTGGAAACACTTGAACTATTTCATTATGCAATGACAGAAAATGTTGACATACCTAAAATCAAGGAACTTAAGATGAGGAGCAATGTTGAGAGAGCACGTCTCTTTTGGTCATTAATTAAACAAGATTCAGTTCTGCTAGATCAACTTAGAAGGAAAGAACGTGGTAAGATGTACTAATAATCTATAGAGTATTTTGAGGGTGTTAGATTTCTAAAAATTAATCAAAACATACATTTTGGCAACATACAAAAAATTTTGGAGAAAATGCAAATTTTTGTACAACAAAACTATGAAGTATTGCTTGCCTTAGCCATTAAATTTATGATTGTAACAATCAGTTATAATTTTTTATGTATTCAGAAAAACCTAAAGCAATTAGATGGTACGATGATGGTGTTCAACTGACCTCTCCATCTTTAATACAATGCAAAGAAGTAGCTTCTTTACTAACGTACAAACATACAAACATTAAAATCATCAAATCATCTCCTGATGTTGTGAGTGACCTGTTGCCAGTTTTATTACAAAATGAAAAGGTGGAATATTTAAGAATACGAGACACTCAACTAACGCAGGACTGCATCTCATCCTTATGTAACTTACTGGCTAATAGTAAGTCATTAGTAGATTTACATCTTATTAACTGCTCCATTGATGACAAAGCAGTTGCTGATATTACCAACATACTATGTACACACAATAACACACTTCTACAATTATTCTTCTTTAAAAATCCTCACATTACTTCAGCTAGTGCTCAGTCTCTTTCTGAACTAATTAGCAACAATTCAACATTAACTGCATTAGAAGTAAGACGTACTTCTATATCATCTGCTGGAATATTGCTTATTCTTCAGTCGCTAACAATGAATAAAAATATAAAGCTCATTCTAGATATAAAACACAAAGACACATGTACAGAATACCAAGACTATAATATTATGAGAGACAGAGTATTGTTTTACTAATAATGTTGCAGTGGTGTAGGAAGCGGGGGCTCAGGGGGGACTCCTGCTCCCCCCTTAATTTTGAATTCACCCTAATTAACTCAGTCTATTAATTAATTTATTAATAATAACTTCATTTTAGCCCCCCCTTCTCCAAAATCTTCCTATGCTTCTGTGTTGTATTTTGCTTTTTACTGATGATGCTGACTCATCAATTATGTAATAATTTATGCAAAAAACAATTAAATACAAAATAAAATGCTATTTTTTATTATACTAATCAGTATCATAATGGCAATGGGGTTATTTAACTGTTTTTCCCTCTCTTTTCCTTTCTCCTTTTTTGTTATTTATGGTTTCCTCTCCTCCTCTCATAGTAATAATACTAATAATAATAAGTTGCTTCTTTTTTGTTAGGACTTTCTTTTTGATTAGTCTATGATTTAGGTGCACTTTTAACTTTTTCATAATAATGATAATAATAATCATTAAAGGAATTTATTATCTAATTATAACTGAACTATTATGATGGTCCTTGTCCTCTTCTCCTCCTCCACAGTATCTTCCCTTAGCACGTGGTGTATTTTTCAGTCTTAAGAGAGAGGGGCCAGCTGGTAAACTAGTTAAACAATCTGGTGGTAACTTATGAGCTATGAGACAAGAGAAAGAGATTACAGCTGAAGCCAAACTCTCTATTCATGTTATAAGTAATGGTTCAGCTACTAGAGGTGTCCATTTCCTCAAGGAGCCCAATATTTCACTCCCAGTGCAACTGGTACAGTCTCAGATCAGTTCCTTATAATGCACACATTCATCAATGCTGGCTACATGTAACACTGGCGAACAGGAGCAGGCAGTCCAGTCTTGAGAAATGGTGGTGTAGTTTAAAAGATTTGACTGGCCTATAAGGGCCCAACTCTCACTACTTTGCCTGCTCCACCACTGAGGACTGGCAAGTGGGAACAGAGTATCTGTGTGACGATTACTATAACGGTGCATAGTGCATACTGTTGACACAGCTAGGGCAGTAGCTTGTACACCAGGGGCAGCACTATGATTATTGTAAATCATTACAATAATACAAAAATTTACAGTATGTATAGTAAATGTGGTAAACATGTTCAGTATCTTTATTAATGTTACAATAGTACAAACTACATCACACCATTTGTAGCTACTCACTTATTTCAATGAACATTTCCTAGCCTCTGCAAACTGGTATTAACTTCAGATGCATAAGTGTGATTTTGTTCAGCTGGAATCTGAGAGGAGAGGAGAAGGGAAAGGAGATAAAAGGAGAGTGTAGTAGAGAGAGGGATAGGGGGGAAAGGAAGTGCTAATAAATTCTATAATATCAATGTCATTGTGATTATTAAAATTGAATATTTCGTACTATCTGAAAAAAAATACTAAAGTTGTGGCACAAAGACCATGGATTAATTGTACAGTACTAAAACTTTACACTTATGTAAATTTTAAAAAACCATTTCTGATGGCTCCAAAATCAAATACAATTTATACATTTTCTGATGCACAATGATGTCTAAATTTTGAATTTTTAATATAGATAATGATGCCAATATTAATGCATCATTAATTTAATAGAATTGTAAGTTGATGCCCTACTAAAATTATTTACAAGATGTACTGTAACCAATGTGCTACTGTAATTAAAGTCACAAGGCCAAAAGTCAAAACCAGCTTGCAATCTTCATTTTTAGGAATGATTAAGATAATTACATCACTTAAAAAAATGGCTATACATGGTTCACTGCTACCAATAGCAGTATAAAAATAATACTGTAATGCTGATGCAAGTATACATGTACATGTAAGTAACACAAAATATTAAAAATGCAGAGTATTATGTTCCTCCCAGAGGGGGAGCAGATAAATTTGGGAAAGTGGGGGTTATTAAAAATTTTGGTTAGTATCATGTAATGTAATTAAGAATTCATTAAAATCACAAATATTATTATTAAGATATCAAAAAACCTCACTTAATAAACAACAAGTCAGCTATTACCAAAATCACAAACATACAAAAATCCATCTTTATCAAATGTTAATCCATAAGGAGTACTAAACTGATCAATACTACTGCCAAACTTTCCAAACCTTCTAACAAATACACCATCACCAGTGAAGACTGATATACAGTTATTTCCCCGTTCCCCGTTCACTAACATACACGAGACCAGTAGCTGCAGTGTCAATTGCTATACCACATGGAATACTAAACTGTCCAGGACAAGATCCTTCAGTACCAAACTGACCCACATATTTTCCATCAGAAGTCAACTTTTGAATGTGATGATTATCCCTATCAATAACATACACCAATCCTTGATTGTCAACAGCAATACCATGTGGAGACTTAAATTGTCCATTAGCTGATCCATAGTTACCAAATGAACGAGAAAAGGTTAGGTTAGAATTCATGACTTGTATATGCTGCATTATTACAATCAGAAATGAAAATCTGTCCTGTTATAGGAGACACACATATACATCCTGGATGCTTAAATTGTAGTGGTCCACTGCCCTCTTTACTAACTGATGCTATATGGTATCCTTCCATGCTTATCTACTGGATCCTGCGATTATCAGACACAAGAATAAATTTGTTTGGAGTAATATGGCTACACCATGAGGATAAGAAAACTTGACATTACCACTTCCTCTTTTCCTCCTAAAGACATTACCTTCTTTCCTAGTATTTTTACACAGCATCAATTATTATAACATGATTATTATTAGTCACAGCAACTCCCCAGGGTTTTTCAGTGACAACATGTGTACGCACTAGAACAATATTGCTAAGGTAAGCATTCAAAAGAATGACTAACGAGGTGTCTTTAAGTTGTGTATCACATGCCGGTATTTGTACTTTTACTACTTGAGTACCACTGGTTAAAGGGTTACACAGTGCCCTATACACACCAGGATCAGTATTAGAAGTACTGACTGTGGCATAAATGGGTTGATCACCTTTACCAAGTGTACATGTAGATATGAACTTACTATGTACAGTATAATAATAATGACAAAAACATAATCTACCTTAGTATATCTCACTTATAATTTGATGGAACAAAACTAATACTGTATGGGTATAAAATTCCGTGGAACAATTGCAGATTTTGTGGATGATATCTTAACCACAAATATTAATACTGTGGAAATACTCACTTCATGTGCACACTGCACAGCACATGTGTTTAATGCTTGTGCATGTGCCAAAGTGGAAAAATTGATCACCTTAAATTTCAGTACCATCTGTACATTAGTTACATTTTTACATAAACTATATACAAGAACTCATACTCAGTTACGTACATGTATATGTGATGCAGAGCAACCAAAACCAAGTATCAAATCAAAGTAGATGCACAACTAATTATATGCGTTATGCATGGATTATTGCAATACATTAAACTATTAATACAACATACAGAATAAATATGTATAGTACATTATAGAAAAACATGAATGCTACATGTACATGTGTAGGTAAGACACAATCACATTGCTACAATAATTTACACTAATATGAATACACTAAATTTACTGTTTAAAAATATATTTTATTGTAATAGCAAGACAAGTAGCTTAATGACATACATAAGAGTCATAGGAATACGAAAGATAACTCCCAAATAGAAATAAAACTTTTCATTAAAAATTAAAACTGAATCAATTTAAAAATACTGAATCAATGCTAATGAACTTTAAAACATTATTTAAACTTTTATTAGTACATACTGTCATTCACTGGAGGAGTCACTGTCAGTGTCACTACCAAATTGTTCCCTTTGATTTATATATCTCTGATAATGATCATCGACTATCTGAATAATATTAACTTCATTCTCTCTCACACGATACTTGAAACGTTTAGCCAGTATCACAAACACTATCAGTATGATAAGAACTAGTACACTCTTAGTTATATAATAATAGAAACTAGTACACATGTATTGACTCTCACAAGCAAATGGGAACTTGATAAATGTACTTATAAGAAAACTGATCCCACAAGATGTAACATACCACAATCCAACCATAACTCCTCTCATGTGTACTGGAGACTGAGCTACTGTAAACTCAAGTGATACTGGATACAATAATAGAAAAGAGAGACTTTGAATAGTTTGTGGGATTAAGAGAAATTTACCAAAACTGTTTATGTCAGGACGAGACCTCTCAATGACAAATACGATCACTTTA